CCCATGGCACCAAGGCAGCCAGGGAGAAAAGCCCAGAGTCCATGTTTGCTGAGCCCCAAACTCAGGACAGGTAGCGAGTGATGGGACCTCCGTTGTCCGCACTCCAGGTTCCCGTGGCTTTTCAGTGATAGCCACTGCACAGGCCACTTTGAGCCTCCCAGCCCTCAGGCCACTCAACGTAAAATGCTGCAGACCTCCCAGTGAGTGCCAGAGGCATGGGAGTCCCTGACAAGTGGGGCCAGGGCAGCAGAAGAGCCCCTCCCTGGATGACATACCACAGGGCACATCAGACCTCCTTAAAGGTTCTCCTCCCGGGATCACTGGAGGAATCCTTTGTATTCAAATACTCAAAAGGCACATAAACTAGTTAAAACAACACAAAACCCACCAACTGGTGGAATTTTAGTGCTCAGAAATCACTTCAGATAAAGCAGACGAGAGAAGGAAGCACATACAGTCAGAATCGTCAAATGATGACATGATTCTTGAATAGGGCGGGCAGGGTTGTGAAGGTAGTGACCATTTCTAAGGAACATGTTGGCCAGTCGGGGGAGCACTGCCCATTCGAGTCCTCCCGTTGTAAGGAGAGTGGCAGGGCAGGTGAAAACGCCATCAGAGGGCACTGCCCATGCTTACCTGGAAAATGGCTTGCTTTTCTTACTGTTGCCAAGAATGGTGGTGCCAGCCGGCCCCAGTTTGGCACTCTCCCGCAGCCAGTTGGCCGGTGGGAGCTTCAAGTCCGTCTTTTCTTCTAGACGGGCAAAGGCTGTGCGAGGAGGGGCAGAGGAGTACTTTACCACGGCACGGCTCTTCACTTCGCTGCCGCCTAGGAACAAAGCTGAGCCCTGGGCGACACAGAGGATGAGACTTTAATGACCGAGCCTCAGAATGAACCCCCACCTTTGCACCATCCCAGCATCTGGGGAAGGAGGTCCCAGACAGGAGTCTAAGGACCCGTCATAAATGCTCCCGGTCTAAGATGCTGCAGTGCCATCACGGTTTTTCACATCCTTTCCAAGGAGCGTGGAGTTTGATCAACCCGAAGCAGGCAGGCCATCTATTTATAAAGTGAATTCCCAGAGAAGCAGACACCGAGGAGCGACATCACAGGCTTCCCCCAGCATCCGGAAAGCAGTGTTTCCAGGAGACATTGCGGTAGTCGAAATGGTCCCAGCAAAGAAGCAGCTACTATTCATTTACATGGGGAACATTTTGGAGTGTTCCCAGACCCCCCAAACACCCTACCAAATCCCATCGAATAGCACAAACAGCCTACGAGCAGCCTACGAGAACAGGGACACAGAGTCAATGCACGGATCGGTGGGATATACACTGCCCACAAGGCAGGAGTCCTGGTGGCACTGAGGTAACGCTGGTTTGTTAACTGCAAGGCTGGCTGTTCAAACCACCAACTGCTCCACAGGAGAAAGGTGAGGCTGTCTGCTCCCGTAGAGAGGTATAACATCCTGAAAACCCTACACAGGCTCGCTCTGAGTCAAAATCAGCCTGATGGCATGCAGTTCCCCACGATGGGGCTTGGCAATCTCACTCACTACTCTGGGCACTGCCACTGGAAATGCTTGCTGGAAAGTAAACATCAAACACAAGTTTTCTTTCTGCATTTACCTTAAAAGCTAACAGGTTAAGATTCCTTTTGGCTATCAAAGCACTAACCCAGGTCTTTCATAGAAGCACAGTGGTGTAAGGAGAGCTTCCAAAGGAGCGTCCTATGACCTAACACATAGTTGAGTAAGTGGCAGCTGGTGGTGTAGTGGGGAACACTGTGGACTGCTAATTGCAAGGTTGTCGGTGCAAACCCACCAGCTGCTCTGAGGGAGAAAGACGAGGCTTTCTACTCCCATGAAGAGCTACAGTCCCAGAAACCCACAGGGTAGGGCTGCCCTGTCCTATAAGGCCTCTAACTGTCAGAAGTGATGCAACAGCAGCATGTTAGTCTTTTGGTGTAGCTGTTAGGCAACCACTGGGCTACTTCACTGCAGGGTTGGAGGTTCAAATCCACCAGCTGCCCCTCAAGTTGAAAAAGGCTGTCTGCTCCTGTAAAAATGTACAGCCTCTGAAACCCTATATAGCAGTGGTTCTCAACCTTCCTCATGTCAACACCCTTTAATACAGTTCCTCATGCTGTGGTGACCCCAACCATAAAATTATTTTCGTTGCTACTTCTTAACTGTAATTTTGCTACTGTTAAGAATCGTCATGTAAATATCTGATATGCAGGATGTATTTTCATTGTTACAAATTGAACATAATTAAAGCATAGTGACTAATCACAAAAACAACATGTAATTATATATTGTGGAATATTTATTTCTAATGACAAAGCAATGAAATTTTGTCTTGAAGCATGGTGTGTTGGATTAAATTGAATAAAGCTTGTGTAGTATGAAAGGAGCTTCAAAATGTTCATGGGGGGAAAAATTCCATTATCCCATGTATGAAAATCCCATGTGTTACACACTGGCTCCTTATGGCCTGGGGGCTGCCATCTTCACTGAAGCCAGTGGCCAGGAGTCTCCCCCAAGGGCGACAGGGTGGGTTCGACCTCACATGTGGCCAGACCATCACCTGGGGGCCTTGGGCTGCTATGACTTAAAAGGAACTGGACCACAATAGATTTGGGGTTTTTTGGTTTAGCATGAAATGGCATTTCTAGTCCAACAAAAATCCAGACTCACTGCCAATGAGGCGATTC